ATATATATATATATATATATATATATATATATATATATATATATATATATATATATATATATGCCCGTTGTCCTTTACAAATACCTTCATATCAACAAATGCAAGCCACACTTTTCAGATTGATTCTTGTAACTATCTTTTGCTGTTCAAATCCAAATATGATCTGATATAGTTTGTGGTTGTAGCATGACAAAATGTGGTTCAGAGGATAAGAATACTTTTGCAAGACAGTGTAGCAGCATGATCTTTGTTGCACACGCAAATCTAGACTGAACTGGTTTACATGGAATGTGTTATACTGTTGGCAACTCGTCAAGTTTTATTAAATTCACTAGTTAATGCTGCTTTCAACTACAGGTTTACTTTGTAACGCTCTCCTTTCCTTGCTTTTTCATCTACCACATATCACATCTGCTGCGCATGCATTTTTCCACATAATGCACCGAAAAGAACCAGGCAGTGTTACTCATTCTGTGCTAACTCTGGTTCAACTGAAATCAGTTTCATGTTGTGATAACCCCATGTGAACTCTGCAAACAATATAAAGTCATTTCATAGGATTTCTAGTTGTTTTTTTTGTTGTTGTTTTTTTTTTGTAAGTATCCACAGAGCGACATCTAGCCCACCTGAGGGAGCTGAAGCCCATCATTATAAACGTCCCACTTGTTTTGAGTTTTCTGTCAAGCTATGTACATAATTCATATTATATTTCTTGTCTTGTCTTGCTGTTTCTCATTTATCAGTTTCTGTTAAAGCTGTCAACATTAATTTGTTTTCCTTTTTTTTTGCTTTTCTTCTCTGTGATTTGAAAAGTCCAGTCCAGTCTAGAACAGTTTGCTCCAGGCCTGAGTAGAATCTGAGTCTTAAGAGATCCTAACACAGCCTTAAGCTCACCCCAATCTCTCCAACAAACCTTGGCCTGGTAAACAAAATGTGTGGTGCTCCAGAACTCAAACAGGGTCCTCATTGGCTGAACTGGCCATGAACTATATCAAGGAAACATTGGAGCATCACATGTGGCGGCTATTAGGTCCATGTTGCACCACAGTCAGCTTACTTTGTTGCAGGTGCTGTGACTGCAGCACACATATATAAACACAGAAAGCAGTGTGTGATCCCTGTCATACAGTAAAAGGCCCAGCTTTGCTGTAGTAACCTTGCCAACACCACAGGCCTATTTACAGGTTGCTACAGCAGGTTGCTGAAAGGGTGATGTCGCTCCTAGCCCAGACTGGTCTGGTCTTTGCCCTAATTCCAATGTGTTAGTTTATTTGACATTGTCTGTCTGGGGTGGGGCTGGAGGGTCAGTGCTGCACTTACTTCCTGAGAATTGCTTCATAAAATATGATTCTCTCTAATGATTGGCAGTGGTGTTGTGTCTCATTCCATTTCTCGTGTCTCATGCCAGTATGAGAGAGAAGCTGTGTGAATGTTTTTTTGTTTGTTTTTTTGCAATGTGTGGCTGTATCCACCTCAATGTGGTGAGTTTTTTTGTTTGTTTGTTTTTGTTCTGCAAGCTTTTAGTTGTCAAAAAAAAAGAATGTCGGTGAATCAAAGTTGTTTATGTGGTGATATGATAGTGTGCCTGTGTCTCTGTGTATGCTTGCACATTTTTAGCAAGATTTTTCAGATGTTTTCAGGTTCTTAAAAGGCTTTTTTTCTTTGATCTCGCAAGAGTGGACAAAAAAAAATCTATTGCTTTATTCCTCAAAGAGCACAAAGTTCTCTTGAGTGACCATAAACATTTGGTTTTTACTTTATTGAAGAAATGTATTTATCTATTCTAAATTTACTGTCATATTTTTTCCTAAATATATAAGTCTTTCTACAAAAACAGCTCAGTTATAAACAAAAATGCGTCTAATATGTACCTGACACTTGATAATTGACCAGATTGCTAAGGGGATCTTAAATGTGTTTTGTTCTTCTCCCTTTGCGCCTGCGATCTACTAATTAGCTATGCTTTGTTAGTGTGATGGGTGACTAGCTAATTGCATTGTGAGGCCTCTGTGTGTACATGCAGTAATGATTTAACGCTCTAATAAGATTGAGTTACAGGCAGCTGGATCGCGTTCTCCCCAAACACTGATCTGAGGTCAGCACTATGCTTTTTCTCTATTGATAATCATATACGAATGTGGGAGATGAGCTGATCTTTGATCTCCTATGGGGGATTTAAATAACTTTCATTAAGATCCATCATGAATCTTTAAGGTAAACTGAAATGAATGTGGTGTTTCCATTTGAATGTGATTTGATTTGAATATGGTGCCTGTACCCCCAGGTTAAGGTGTCTTAAAATAAATGCATATTTAACAGCAGATGCATGAACTACCACTGAAAAAATTGAGAAAAGAAATTAATTTAGTTTTTCTCTTAGGCTTTCTCTGTGGGAACCTCTTAGGGTTCCCTGGCCATTGCCAGTTCCCTGACTGAGAAGCTAAAAAGGTGGATTTTGTAAATAATGCATAATTTCTTTCTTTGCCATTTCTTTTTGATCAATATCCAACTAAAAACCTAATGATTAGCCATTATTTAGTTTGGGGCAAGCATCAAGCCTATGATGCAATTAAGTCTTAATAAAATTATCTCAGCATTCATAAATGAATTTTAGCCCATATTATCATTTAATCTCCACCATACTTAACTGTTTTTAAGATATTTTTATAAATATTGGTTTTGTTTCACCACACTGAAATATTTAATTATACCATTTAGTTTGTGAAATGTACAAGTCTGCTCTGCAGCAAAACACTCACACAACATCATTACGCCTCCCTCTTACTTCACAGATGAGATTTTGTTCTCAGGCTTGCAACCTTAAAGGTTTGTTTCTGGGACTGAAAGGTAGAAACTTTGTTGCTGCTTCTTGGAGTAATGTCTTCTTTTTTTCTAAATTGCCTTTCAGCCATGTAGTCAACGATCAGGGCTTTTTTCACCAAATTTTCTAACCATTTTCAGCTAGCCTTTGACAAGGTGCTTTGCTTTTGTTCTCTGGATTATAAACATATTTCGCCCTGGAAATGTTGATCTTTAGGATATAACTCCATCTCCTACATGAATGCTTTTATGGCTGGATATTTCTATATTCCTTTGTTTAGATTAATCTTTAGTCTCAGAGTTTCTTAAAATCTTAGCCAAGGATGCACCAGATTTTTGATGGTCCACAATTCTCATCCTAATTACTTGACTTATTCTTCCATGTTACACAAAGAAACAGGGCATCTCAGATGCTGTATTAAGAGAAATTTACAGATTTCCCTCCAATTAACACAAATCATACCTTAAAATACCATGAGACCAGTGGTGTCAAAATTACACACATTTGTTACATAAGTAGAAGTACAGTATACATGTAGATACTGAAAAACACTCTGGTAAAAGTTGAAGTATCAACTTCACCTCTTTACTCAAGTAAAAGTGGAAAAAGTATGTGCTCCAAAAACTACTTAAAGTATAAAAGTATAAAGTAACCTTTAAAAAAACAGCCAGATGCCACTATATGAATTGAAAGCTCAAATCTTCGACTATTTCGAAAAATTTATTTGAGATAGGGCCAAGGATGAGAGAGGTCTTGTTGGTCTCTGTCTCCATCTCCCGATACGCTCTCACCTGTGTCCCACCTTTCAGACATTTCAACATCTTTTTCTGAATCCTTCATTGTAGCATGGCATAGACAATTCACTTTTGCAGTTTGAAGAACACTTGCTTGCTTCTGATTATTTCCTTTAGCTAACCAATGAGTGTTTGCGTTATATGACTCATCCAATCACACTAGTTTTCACTAAATGTGGATAGCGCCAATGGTCTGCATTGGATGGAGCACATGGCGTGAAATAAATATTTTTAAACATTAAACCGAAGCCAAGAGTAACGAGTAACGTTTATTTTAAAAGTCTAAGGAAAAGAAAGTACAGATACTTGTATGAAAATGTAATGAGTAGAAGTCAGAAGTAGGAAGAAAAATAAGTAATGGAGTAAAGTATAGATACCTAAAAAGTGTACTTAAGTACAGTAATGAAGTATTTGTACTTCTTTACTTGACACTTCTGCATGACACCAAAAGTTAGGCATTAGCA